TAAGTGATTTGCTCAGGGTCACACAGCTACTAAGTGTCTGAGGTCATATTTGAACTCAGGTTTTCCTGACTCTAGGCTTGGTGTTCTATCCTCTGCACCACCTAGCTGCCCACATATTGATTTAGAAAACCACACATTAACATTACCTATGTTGTATTGTACTTTTATTAATTTTGTTAAATACTTTCCAATTACATTTTAATCTGGTTCATGGAGTACTGGGGAAGTTTTGCCAGCAGCTGTTGATCCCTGGTGGCAAGTGTGACATCTCTGTGTAATTTCTAAAGTAACTTACACCTCTAAATCTTTGATTCGGTGATCTATTTTACTTCAAGTCTTTCCCAGATGTTTTGGTTGGCCCATATTATCCTCTTTACTGCAGACAAACTCCCAGGTTCTCATCCTCTCCATTGGCTGGGCATAAGGTCTTATAAGTATGCACTTACATACCTCTGTAACTGCCTTTGAGAGCTCTCAGTCATTGCATATCCTCATCCCTGCCCTGGGGATGATCTTTATGAATAATTTTGAAATCACTCAGATAATCTGAACATTCAGATCTTAGCTAGAGCACTGACTCTATTAGTACAAGAAATGCAGAATTAGGTGCAGTTGGCCCATGGTTACTATTGAAACAACATGCTAAATTAAATTAATCTGTGAATCATAAATTGTGTGAAAGTATTCTCTTAGTTTCTAAAAAGGAAAACATAATTTTACCTTTTCTTCTTTAAGGTTTTTAATAAGAATTAGTTTCTGAAACATGCTCAAGTTTGTATTCCAATGGTTTTTGGAACCAGCTGATTCTTGGCCTTCTGTTTCTTCAACATAACCATCCCAGGATTGGGGGTTAATATGGGTTTTTAAATTTCCTGAAAATTAAATTTTAGAGAAGGATTAAAATTAGCTTTTAACCAGCAAACTACTACAATTCAATTCAATCCAACATTTATTAAGTGCCTACTAAAGTGCTAAGTGCTTTGGGTGATACAGAGATTAAATAAGACTTTCTCCCTGCAATCATGGGTCATACAATTGAGGGAGAGGGAATGATACATATGTAAATAACTAAAATTTAAAAAGAGAGCATGGTGCATGCATAAACATCAAGGGAAGGTGGCCTCCTGCAATATAGTGGCTGCCCTAGGTAGGGGGCAACTTGTATTCTATCTAACCAATACTGCTTTACTGGTTGGATAAAAGGGTTCTTTATTTTCTATGAATTTCCTTGACTTTCACTAGCCTTAAACTAGCACCGGGTGGCCCCACTCCCACATTAACCTAAAAGAGTCTTCCCCAGTGGCCTAAGGTCATCATCTATTTATTCTTACATACATTCACCAGGCAGAGACAAAGGCTGTATTTTCTAGAAACCTGTAACAATGAGGTCCCTGATGCTGAGTGGGCTATATGATTTTTTATGAATTCTGCCGTGGGCTGATGGAATACGCTGCCCTTTTGAGAATGGTAGGAAATGCTTGATGTATGAATTAGATAAGAGAAAGCATTTATTAAGCACTTACTATACTGTGTTAATCACCGGGGATGCCAATAAAAGCATATTAGACAGTCCCTACCCTCAAGGAGCTTACATTCTAAAAAAAGGAAGTCAACACAGAAAGGAAAGCTAGAAGGAGGGAGGGTTTATGCTTAGAGTGGTATGATTGGAAATGTACAGAAAGTGCTGTGAGCAAGATAAGGCTCCAGGGGGTGGAGTTGGATTTTCTGGTGGGGGGAGTGGAGATGATAGCCCAAGTGGAAATGGTATGGTAAAAGACATCCAGGAAGTGTCATGAGAGAGTAAGGCTGAATCTTGGTAGTTCCAAGGACAAAATCCATTTATTTCTAGCTGCTCTTGTGATTTGGCTTATGGGGGCAGGAGGTCACAAACTTAAGCTCTTTCTGTAGGCTCCCTCCAAATGTGAGCTATGAATTGTGGGCCTTTATCACATACAGTGAGAAGGCTGCTTGACATTATACCCATTCTTTTGGAAGTTCCGTGTTTTTTACACAGCTGAGAGCAATTTCATGTCATTAGAAGAAGCAATAAGGTACAGTGCAAAACATCAAACTTGTAGTCCCAGGATCTGAATTCAAATCCTGGCTTTCCCCCTATCTGTGTTTCCCTTGGAGAAGTCACTTATTTACTATGGGCCTCAGTTTCCTCATCTCTAAAATGAGAGGGTTGCACTGGATGCTTTCTTTCATCTGGCTCTAAATCTATAATCCTATGATTTTATGCAAGAATTAGAAAAATCTCAAGATGTGTCTATCATAAATATGGTGGCATAATCTGGGCTGGTGGTGAGTCTGCAGTAAATACCACAAGCACCAGGCACCAACGTCATGGCAGAACTGCCAATGACTGTGTAAGTCCACATATCTTCCCCTAGACCTCTTGGTCCTCTGGTATACGTCACACCCTTTGGTATTTTGATGTGCTTGCCAGGCCCTATATAATAAAAAATAATGCCTGTGAGTGGGGTCCTTTATCTGGATCAGGGCTACTGTTCTGCTAAAGCTATTTTAAATGTCTTTGGAGTCTCTTGGGTTTCCCAAATAAGCCACCATAACATCTGCAAATAGAGATACCTTTTATTTCTATCTTTTCTTTGGCTAAGCTACTTCATTTCTTGCCCTACTGCTATAGCTAGCATTTTATTTCAAATAAAAATATATTTCATAATAATAATGGTGAAAAACAACTATTTCTAGTTATTTATCACTATTTCTAGTTATTACCATTAGTAATGGTAAGAAATAAAACGATTTCAAATAGTAATGGTGAGAATGGATGCTCTTGCCGGCCCCTTGTTCTTAGTGGGAAAACTTCTAGTGTTTTAGTTTTAAAGCTAATGATAGGTTTTGTTTTCAAGGAAATACTTTTATGACGATAAGTAAAGCTCTTCCTTATTAGAATGTAATTAGAGGACAGGGACTGTTTTTGCTTTTTCTTTGTACCTCCCAGCACTTAGCATAGCACCTGGCATACAGTAAGTGCTTAATAAATGCTTCTTGATTGATTGATATTCCTCAACAATTCTCTCCCACTATTTAAGGAAATTTTGTTGTTGGAAAAATTGAAATAATGTTTTTATCTGTTGAAGAATATAATAGGGAATAATGATGTCAAAAAGGAGGGAAAGTCAAGTAATAATCAGGGGTAACTTGAGAATTGGGAAATTTTCCAGTGAAAAAGATCAATGTTGCGATTAATTTATTAACAAGCACTTACTAAGTGCCTGCTTAGCTGCCATGATTGGTATAGGGGAAGAGCCCAAGGGAGCCCTGCTTCTAAAAGTCCTGGCAATGTGTCACATTACCGAGTCTGATTGAAATGGGAGTGAGCAATATCTGTGATGATATTCCCTGAAAAGCTGGAAAGGTGTCTTCCAAGTCAAAACAGGCCAACCACATAACATCTAAGAGCCAGGGGATTTCAGGTTTGACAGGGCGCTCCTATAGTGGACAGAAGGCAAAAAGAACAATAATTTACAAAAGGTGAACACCAAATATGCCTTTATCTCACTACTCAATGGATGAAACTCAATCTCTTGCCCAAAGGAAGTGACAAGCTATACTGGTCACGTAGGGAAAATGTCTGCTGGATTTTCTAGCAGTGTCTTCCCAAAAGAAGGCTAGCTGATGAAAGGTAGGTGGGCTGATAAACTGAGGGAAACAACTTGGCATAAGGGTAAGAACCCCAGGCTTGGCTATCTGGAGTCTTGGGTTCTAGTTTTGGCCCTTGCATCTAACTAGCCGTGTGGGTCTCAGTTTCCTTATTAATAAAATGAGAAAGGTTCTTCTAGCCCTGTCTACTAAACTACTTGTGAAGGTGTTCTCAGGAAGGGTTAAATTTATGTGTAATTAGTTGTGAGTTTTTCTTCCCCACACAAAGCCTCCATACGTGAAATGCATCAGCTTCTAGGAATAATAGTCTCTACAGCTTCCAGTAGAATGACGTAGGTCAGGGAGGGTGAGGGGTACAGACGGAAAGGTAAACATCAGTACTGGGGTGAGAGAAAGGCAGCCTCCTGGGATGGTGGAGAGGGGTGGGGTAGGTTAGGGAGCTGGACAGTTATATCCTCCTCCCTATTGGGGTGGATAGCAGTTGGAGTAGAGATAGAAACTGGACTTACTTCCATTGATATGGGAAACTCCTAAGTGAGATAACTTTGTCTGCCAGCACAGGTTGGCACCTTCTAGTCATAGACAGTTACCTAGACCACCAAGATGCTAAATGATTTGCCCAGTCAGCTAATGATGAAATCAATAGATGCCAGAAAAAAGGTTTGAACTTAGGTCCCCTCTCAGTCTACCACATCCACCAGGCTTCCTCTGAAACTTAAGTGTGAGGATGGAGACGGGCTCCATTCATCAGTCACCTTTCCCCTCCCCTGCCCCACCCAGTCATGGTCTCTGAAGCTAAAATAAACTTTAAGAAGACTGGTCCTAAAGTTGAATTAACTAAATTGTGAGTAGAGAAATTCAGAGTAAATGGAGGTCTTAATTTAAGATAGAAAGAAGAGAGGTGGTGGAAAGACTAGGGTCACATGGCTGGACATTGTGATGTTAAGGTAGCACTATGGGTCCCAACCTGCTCATCTACCACATGGGGGTGAGCAAGAGAGAGCATGGGGAACAGTGGGCCCTTTGTCAGTCACACTCGGATGTTCACAAGGCAGGTGTACCCCTTCTGTTTAGAAGTTCTTGGGGCAGTTAGGTTGCACAGTGGATAGAGCACCAGCCTTGGAGTCAGGAGGACCTGAGTTCAAATCTGGCCTCAGATACATAACACTTACTAGCTGTGTGACCCTGGGCAAGTCACTTAACCCCATTGCCTAGCCAAAAAAAAACAAAAGTTCTTTCACACCTGTCTAAAGTCCCCTCCTCCTCTTTCCCTGGCCCTATTAAACTCCACCAGACTAGGCCTTTTCTGTTCAAGTAGTTTATTTGTTGGAATTATTTTTTGCTGATGGGAAAATAGATGCTAATGAACCAATGTGTTATATCTCCCAGATCCAGTATTTACATGTTAAGGATAATTAAAGAACTAATTCTAATGGTGGGAATTTTAGACACTACACAGATGCTTAGTTTTGGGCCAGAGGACTTTTTTTTTTTTATTTGCTTTTCAAAAAGTATTGTGCAGGTTACCACATCTTCCACTAATGGTCAGAGCAAGGTCCTATTGGGGACAGACCAATATTTTTCCTAGGGGCACATATTTATTTGTCCATTTCAAGGCTATGGAGCATCTGGGATGGGGTGGGGGAAGGGAATTCATTCTTTTCTCCCTATAAATAGGATGTTGAGGTCTATACATAGTCCCAAGAGCAAAGTGGCCTGCCGTACCAAACACTACCTTGAGGCTGTGGAAAGGCTAGTGATTCTGACCACTTGCTGCCCTTACATCTGGGCCACCTCTCTTCATGCCCAACTACGATGAGTCAATTCTTCTTGGGAGCTTATGATACAGTAGAAGGCTCCATCAACAAGCAACAACAGGTCTTGAGAATCAACTAGCTTTTAAAAGAAGCCCTTCTTTTGACCTGACCTTAACCTATGTTTCCACCTTCCTACATCTACAATCTTGCCAAACCGGCCTTTTCTCTGTTCCTAATCTCTCTCCTTGGTGCCTTTGTACCCACTGTCCCTTCGGCCTGAAACACCCTCCTTCCCAGAATTCCTCTCTTCTTTCAAGATACCTTTGAAGCAGCAACTTCTGCATGAAGGCTTTCCTTATCCACTCCCCCCTCGACCGCCACTCTTATTTAACTCCTGTATTCATTCACTTTATATTTGTGCTTTATAGATTTCTCTGTGCACTTGCACATAGAATAGAATGTAAGATCCAGGTGAGGAGTGATTATTTCATGGATCGTATTTGCACCCCCAGGGTCTACACAGTGTCTGATATGTAGCAGGCAAATGTCGGTTGATTATTTAGGGCATCACAGCTTGCCCTGTGATTCTCTAGAAGTCTGGCAGCAAAAACCAGAGCTGGAAGAAAGGGGTTAGGAAGCCCTGGGGCTGGGCTAACCTCCTCATCAGTGAAAGATGAGTGGGCAGCATTAACTCTGGCTTTGGTGCTGACCTCATACAATGGAACATAAACTTTCCCTTCTGCCCTCTGATCTCCTCCCTCAACTGGCAGAGGATTAGAATCCTTCCCTTCCTTAAGGCTTAGCTCAGGTGCTCTCACTCGGGGTAAGTGTCACCTTATGGACTTTCTATCTTATGTATAGAGGGATATGTCACCCTGTATATAGGAACAAGATCTGACCCATAGCATAATCAAACCTGTGGAATTTCAAGGCACTTGTATGGTGGAGTTTTATGAGATTTTAATAATATCTCACATTCAGGGAATAGTGGAGAGACAAAATTATGGAGAGCACAGAAAGCTGGTCTCCATTTGAGTAAAACAAGTCACATCTCTAACATATACTAACTTTGGGACTCCAGGTAAGTGTTCTAGGCAACTCTCCGAGAGTAAAAGTTTCAAAGAAGGCACCGACCTGCTTCTGCTGGGGAATATCTTTGCCTGGCAGCTCCCTATACTGGTAAAATCACAGGGCCAATCCCTAGCCCTCACACGTGGACCTCATTTAAAATTTCAAAACATTTTCCGACCTTCACAGGATTCCCTTGAGGTGCTTATCCCCATCTTTCATACGAGAAAACTGAGGCAATGAGAAGTCACATAACTTGCTGGAGCTCTGTGCGGCTTCTTTCGGGACCCAAGCCCTCTTTTTCAGCCTCATTCAGCTCCCCAGAGCCCTTCTGCCTCGGCAGCAGCAGCCCCAGCCCAGTTATAAAAGCGATACCTTATCTAAGCCCGCCGCGCCACGGAGGAAGAAATTCCATTCTTCTTCTGTTATTTCTTGCTTCTGGCGCATGATTTCGACGCAGAGCATGAAGCTATAGATGAGTTTGTGCTGCTCAAACAGTCCTCGGGACACGTTGACGTAAGCTGTCAAGAGTGTCTGATCGAGGAGAATCACCAGGCGCTGCTGCAGGTCGTCGATGTGCTCCGAGGTTTCGATGGTCGTGTTAAATAACTGCAAGAGAGAGATGAGTCTCGGCTCATGCCCGCCTCAGCTACCCCACAATGACCTCTAGATTCCTTTTCATCTATGATCCTTCCCCATCTTGCAGTTTCTAAAAAATTTATTGTTCTTTCTATAGTCTTTTCTTTCTCCTTATGATAATAATAATAATAATAAAAGATGAAATTGAGGTGGCGCTTTCAAGTTTGCAAAGAGCTTTATAAATCTCATCTCATTTTACCTTCACAGCAATCCTGGAAGTTACTTACTAAATCTAATAACAATAACAGCAATAATAGCTAACATTTATATAGCACTTACGATGTGCCAGGCACTGTGCTAAGCACTTTACAAAAATTATCTCATCTGGTCCTCACAACAACCCCGGGAGGCAGATGCTATTATTATTATCTCCATTTTAGAGAGGAGGAAACTGAGGCAGTCACAGGTGGAGTGATCCTAAGCGAGTGCTTAGGATCACATAGCTAGTGAATGTTTAAGGTCATAATTTGAACTCAGGTCTTACCGGTTCCAATTCTAGAGCTCTATCATCCAGTGAGCCACCCAGCTGCCTACGCTGGTGGTATCATAGAATGGCTCCTTATGTGAACAGGATTCAAAGCCACGGGGTAAGAAAATTGAATCAGTTCATTTTGCCAACTCCTTGGTTGAGACATGTCCCCCTCATAATACTGAATGGGCAAGAGACATTGTTTCTTGCAGTAGAAAGTAAGGTCTTTGAGGGCACGAACTCTGTCCTTTAATGTTTCTGTCCCCAGTTCTTAGCATGGTCTCTTGCTCCTAGGAAGTACTTAACAAGTGGCTGTTGAACTGAGTTTGTAGAGAAAGAAGTAGGGCAAAAATGGCGAAACCTCTAAAAGACCTAAATGACCTCATGAGTGTTGGTGTTAGGAATAAACATCCTTCTGTTTCCATTTCTTTCAGGGGAAAGAGACTAACAAATAAGAAAAAAAAATCTCAGGTTAAATTGTAAAGCTAAAAGTAATGTTCCACATTTTAAGTTGGGATAAGTTAGATATCATGCCTCAGAAGAGGGGTAAAGTTTTTCTAAAGCAACTGACTAGAGAGATCAAGGTATGGGGATGAATGGGGATGGAGGACTGGAAAATCCTGTAAATCACAAAACACAGAATCAAAGCATCATTAATGTTTGGATGGGGAAAGTAGAAGTTGTATCCAGGAATTACTGAGTAGACCAATTCAGCTACAGTGGATGGTTCCTGTAGGGGGAGAGTAGGAAGGGCCAAAAATTGGAGCTGAGCTCTTAACCAAGGTGGGAACTCCCCAGACAAGTCCTCTGTTCCGTCACTCCAATTCACCCACTTCAGCCACGCTGTTGGCTTGGCCTTTGGAAGTGAAAAGAGCACTAGCCCAAAGTCGGGAGGACCTGAGTCCAAATGTAGCCTCAGACACTTCCTAGCTGTGTGACCCTGGGCAAGTCACTTAACCCTCTTTGCCTCAGTTTCTTCATCTGTAATATGATCTGGAGAAGGAAGTAGCAAATCACTCCAGGATCTTTGCCAAGAAACCCCCAAATGGGATCATGAAGAATTGGAAATGGCTGAACCAAGTCAACAAGAGGTATAGCAGGCTTTAAACTACAGTGACTATTAGGGGCCTCAGGTTTTTTAGATGGAAAGGGCCTTCAACATCCTTCCCCCCCAACCTTCCTCAGGCACATGTCTGTGTGAGAATTGTGTGGTCTGCTCCAAGTCAATGGAATCTCCTCTCTCGGAGGAAACTAAGAGAAAACCGACCTGCTTGAAATACTTTAAGGAGTACTGATACATGGGGTCTATTTCTGACAGGCTGGCGATGACGAAATACATGACAGATCCCTGAGTTGCCACAGGCCGGTACTTCTCCCGAGCAGCATTGATCATTTTTTCTGTGGACTCTGCCTCTTGCAGTCTGGTTTTAATGGCCCCTGAAGTGACCTAAAACAAAAGTTGACGTGACAACAATCAGTGAGTGGAGAGAGTGACCAGTCTCTGTCTCTTCTCTGGCATCTGAGTTCTGGCTCCTCCATCAATCAGTGCACACAAGCCTTCATATACAGCATGTGCTAAGCTAAGCACTGGACCTGCTTTCCATCCACAGTGAAAACCCTTCTCTTGCCTTGGACTCCTGGAGAGTGTTGATAAGCTCTTCGTTGTCCAGAATGTTTCCTTCGGATGTGAACAGCATTTTTAGGATTTTGTCCTCAACGGCTTTCAGCTGGTTTTTGTCAGCATTGATCCTTATGATGAGCTGGGTTCTTTGCTCTTCTAGATCAGGTTTTTCAAGCCTCACGACGTCGCTAGAAGAGACATTCGACCATGTTAGTGATGCTTCCTCCAGACCTCACAACCCATGTCCCCATAAAACACTCACTTCCTGCTTCAAAGACCTTTGCCAGACCAGTCAGAGAGCATATCAGTTCTCCTGTCCCCTCCTCAAGGCATCCTATCAGCATGCTCTTAAGAAAACTTGTCAATGCTAGTCTCACTCATTTCTCCCATTCCTACCCCTAAGAAGGCAGCATGGCAAAGTCATTAGAAAGTTGGCCTTAAAGCCAGGCAGAACTGGGTTCCCATCTTGCCTCTCACACACATAGGTGCACCATCTTGGACAAGTCGCAGTCTCTCAGTGATATAGGCCAGAGGTGTCAAACATGCTCCCTGACTGCCAGGGAGCCAAACCAGCTTGAAATGTGATTGGGAAATATTGAACAAAATAAATAAAAATTCAATAGTCAATACGTGGTTTTCTATGTACCTTCAGGGATCCTTACATATTGTTTAGGGCCCACCCCCCCATCCCCTCTCCCCTTTCTATTTCAGTCTGACACCACTGCTTTAGGCAACTCTGTAAGACAGAGGGTCTTAACTGTTTGTGTGCCCTGGGCCCCTCTGACAATCTAGTGAAACCTATGAACTGCTTCTCAGAATCATATATATGTGTGTGTGTGTGTGTGTGTGTGTGTGTGTATGTATATGTGAATATATATAAACATATCCATATTCGCACACACATATGTATATATACATACCCATATATAATATGTATTATATATGTATATACACACATATTTATACACATATATTTATACACACATACATATACATGTTTTAAGTTTTAAGTTTATATATGAAATTTAGATTCAAATGTAAAAATAAGTTTTAATTTAATTTTTAAAGTTTTAAGTTTATATAAGAAATTTAGATTCAAATGTAAAAATAATAAGTTTTAATTTAATTTTAAATAACATAAAATATGTATCATATTTCAAAGGAAAACAATTATACTGAAATATAGTTATCCAAATATTTTTAAGACCCCAGATGAAGAAGTCCTGCTCTAAGACTAAACTGCACCAACCTCTACCAGTGGAGTGTTTCCTCTCCTGGTTGTGGCCTATATTAATGAAATCACAGGCCCAATTTCTATAATTCTGTAATTCTCACCTGTCTCTAAAATAAATGGTCCTCAGATGAACCTGTTTTTCCTTTTTTTAACTCTTTCCCCTGACTCTCTCTTCCTCTGCCCTGAGATGGTACCCTTACTTCGGCCCACCTAGCAGCTCCTGGCTCCTCTCTTCAAGTGTCCTAGCTATTATAATATTCTATTCTGATATAATTATATTCCTTATTTCAACTCAATTCAATGAGCATTTATTGAGTGCCCAATGTGTGCCAGGTACTGTGTGAGGTGCTCATAATATCTTCTGTGTGACTTTATGGTACATGATTACATCCTGCAGATTCTTGTTCTTCTTTATCAGCCCACACTCATATTTTAACAGAAATAGTTCAGCTGCTGGGCCTCAGGCCCCACTCTGCTGTAGTCACCACAGTCCAAAGTCCATTTTTAGGCAATGAGATATATTATGACATAATTATGCATTCCTAAAGGTTTATTATTCATTTTCTCCCTAATGATGGAAAGGGGTCCATCTCCAGTCATCCTGCTCTTTTATCTTGCCACTGGACCCAGCTGACTCCAGAGAAGAAAGTGAGGCTGGTGACCTTGCACAGCCCTACCTCACTTAAATCCAAATCACTTGCAAGTCATGGCATCACCTCCTTGATGTCATGGTCTTCTTCCAGAATGAAGGACAAACAATAACAACAACAATGATGGAGAAAAGGTAGACAGAAGACAGCAAACTCCTCGAGGGCAAGTGCTGTGTTGTTTTTCATTTACAATGGCTGGAACACAACAGATATCTAATTGCACTCAATTGTTGAGTGAAGGAGAAGGAACCAGAGGATAACGAGGAAGGAGTATGAACAATTAATTGGCTTCATTTACTGGTTTGTGGCTGGTAAGACCAACCAAAGTGGGGAGGGTATGTGTNGGAAGGAACCAGAGGATAACGAGGAAGGAGTATGAACAATTGGCTTCATTTACTGGTTTGTGGCTGGTAAGACCAACCAAAGTGGGGAGGGTATGTGT